CCTGTTTACGTGACTCCTGTGACTCCGATGCCGGATTATTGCACCGCATACGGACTAGACCAGGACTGATCCAGGTCCGGGACCAGACCGGGACCAGACCAGGACCAGAGTGGACTCCGAGCTTTGACTCTGAGCCTCCGGTCTGGTCCTGGTCTGGTCCTGGTCTGGTCCCGGTCTGGTCCCGGTCTGGTCCTGGTCTGGTCCGGTCTCGGTCTCAGTCTCGCTCTGGTCCCGGTTTCAGTTCTGATCTCAGTCTCGGTCTGGTCTCGCTCTGGTCCTGGACCTGGATCAGTCCTGGTTCAGTCCGGCATCGCAGTCACTGGAGTCACGTAAACGGGAAAAGGTCATTATCCATTTTTTCCATTTTTCATTTAAACACAAAATCGAAAACTGTAAAAATGAATCATTACCTGTTTTTTCATTTTGGAGACAAATAATGAAGAAAACTGTTGTTTTTTTGTTTTCTTATTTTTGGTTTCATTTTGAAAAAAGAATGAAAGACTGACACACGGATTTGAGTGCAGGATTTTCCAAGAAAAATCTACTTATTCCTGTTTACAGACAAGTTCATGTTAAAACTTTGTGTTGAAATTGTATTTTCCTTAAAGTTTCAGGTTGTTCATAATATTATAATATTTTGTAAAAGAAAGAGTTCATCAATTCAAAAAGATTTCTGTAATAGATTTGTGTTTCTCTGCACAAATATTTGAACTTATTGTTATTATTTAAGGTAAAGTCTGAGTCTGAGTTTGTAAAATCCTTCAGTCCAAACAGAATCCAGAGCAAAAGGAGAAATTCAATTTGTCAAATGGACAAAGGTTTTTTTGATCAAATCTGTTTCGCAGCTCATCTAAACGACTTCTTCAGTTCAGAAACAGAAAATACATATAATAGATAATAAAAAGTTACACAGTGCAGCTTTTATAAAAACACATTGTGGTTTCTGTTTGTTCACTGCAAATTTCTCTGATTTGACCAAAATGTTTAAATTTATATCAGGTTATTTATTGTGTTTTCAGGTTTATTATTGACTTACTCGTTCGTTTATTTGAAGAGAACTTGTCCAGGAAAAGGATTTTGTTGCATGAAAACATCATTTCAACACTTTTAACTCATTTTCTGATTTAAGTGTTTAGATTTTAAATTGTGGTTGAGTTTTTTGCAGTTTGTCTGACGACAAAAGAAACGTTTGATATGAAAACATTTGTGCTCAACATTTAATCTGTGGTGGACACACACACACACTGGTGGTACACACACACACACACACACACACACACACACACACACACACACACACACACACACACACTGTACACACACACACACACTGTACACACACACACACACACACACACACACACTGTCACACACACACACACACACACACACACACACACACACACACACACACTGTACACACACACACACACACACACACACACACACACACACACACACACACACACACACTGCACACACACACACACACACACACTGTACACACACACACACACACACACACACACACTGTACACACACACACACTGTACACACACACACACACACACACACACACACACACACACACACACACACACACACACACACACTGTACACACACACTGTACACACACACACACACACACACACACACACACACACACACACACACACACACTGTCACACACACACACACACACACACACACACACACACACTGTACACACACACACACACACACACACACACACACACTGTACACACACACACACACACACACACACACACACACACACACACACACTGTCACACACACACACACACTGTACACACACACACACACACACACTGTACACACACACACACACACACATGTCACACACACACACACACACACACACACACACACTGTACACTGTACACACACACACACACACACACACACACACACACACACACACACACACTGTACAACACACACACACACACACACACACACACACACACACACACACACACACACACACACTGTACACTGTACACACACACACACTACACACACACACACACACACACACACACACACACACACACACACACTGTAACACACACACACACACACACACACTGTACACACACACACACACACTGTACACACACACACACACACTGTACACACACACACACACACACACACACACACACACTGTACACACACACACACACACACACACACACACTGTACACACACACACACACACACACACACTGTACACACACACACACACACACACACACACACACACACACACACACACACTGTACACACACACACACACACACACACACACACTGTACACACACACACACACACACACACACACACACACACACACACTGTCCACACACACACACACACACACACACACACTGTACACACACACACACACACACTGTACACACACACACACACACACACACACACACACACACACACACTGTACACACACACACACACACACACACACACACACACACACTGTACACACACACACACACACACACACACACACTGTACACACAACACACACACACACACACCACACACACTGTACACACACACACACACACACACACACACACACTGTACACACACACACACACACACACTGTACACACACACACACACACACACACACACACACAACACACACACACACACACACTGTACACACACACACACACACACAGAACACAAACCACACGAGGGACACTGTGTTTGTCTTTACATCACATTGTGATCTCCTCCTCTCTGGTCTGTTCATGGAAAGAGGAGGAGATAAAGAAGAAAGGGAGGGATGGACTGAAGGAGAGAGAGAGAGAGAGAGAGAGGAAGAGGGATGGCTGAAGGAGGAGAGGAGGGAGAGGAGAGAGAGAGAGAGAGAGAGGAAGAGGGATGGACTGAAGAAGAGAGAGAGAGAGATGAGAAGAGAGAGAGAGAAGAGGGGATGGACTGAAGAAGAGAGAGAGAGAGAGAGAGGAAGAGGGATGGACTGAAGGAGGAGAGGAGGAGAGAGAGAGAGAGAGAGAGAGGAAGAGGGATGGACTGAAGGAGGAGAGGAGGAGAGAGAGAGAGAGAGAGAGAGAGGAAGAGGGATGGACTGAAGGAGGAGAGAGAGAGAGGGGGGGGGAGAGGAAGAGGGATGGACGAAGGAGGAGAGGAGGAGAGAGAGAGAGAGGGAGAGGGAAGAGGATGGACTGAAGGAGGAGAGAGAGAGAGGGGGGGGAGAGGAAGAGGATGAGACTGAAGGAGGAGAGGAGGAGAGAGAGAGAGAGGGGAGAGAGGAAGAGGGATGGACTGAAGGAGAGAGAGAGAGAGGGAGGGGGGAGAGGAAGAGGGATGGACTGAGAGGAGGAGAGGGAAAAGAGAGAGAGGGATGGAGGAGAGAGAGAGAGAGGGGGGAGAGGAAGAGGGATGGACTGAAGGGAGAGAGAGAGAGGGGGGAGAGGAAGAGGGATGGACTGAGGAGGAGAGAGAGAGGGGGGGGGGAGAGGAAGAGGGATGGACTGAAGGAGGAGAGGAGGAGAGAGAGAGAGAGAGGGGAGAGAGGAAGAGGGATGGACTGAAGGAGGAGAGGAGGAGAGGTAGATCAGGAGGAGGAGGTATAAAAAGCTCTGGATCCTGGTCAGTGCGTTTGGACAGAAGCAGCTCAGGTACGAACCAAAACTTTTGATTCTCTTTTGTTCTTGACATAATTCTGCTGTTTCTCTTATCTGCAAATGTTTATTTTTATTTTTGTTTTACACATATTTTAGAAATTATGTTTTTGTGGTGACGTTTAATACAGATTTGCAAAAAAACAAACCAAAAAATGAAACACACACTGAAAAAATGATATCACTTTTTTTTTGTTAGATTTTTTTTTTATGTTGAGTAAAAAATCTGCAAAAAAAAAAAATTTTTTCACCTTTTGCTCAGTTTGTTTTTTTTCATGTGGAAACAACAAAACTGATCCTCTGCAGTGAAAGATCTTGTACAAAAATATTTCATTGAACCAGTTTGCCTCCGTAGAGTTAAATTTTGACTCTAAATTCAAATTCTGTTTTGTGAAAATGCATTTTTCTCCCACACAAGGATCCAACTTTACTTTCTGACATTTAATTCCAAGTTTGATTTACTCAAGTTTTAAGATTTTTTTTGGAATTTTTCAGTCAGATCTCGTTTATGAAAAAACACTAAATAAAATCCAAATCTTCTCTTTGTATTTTTTTTTAGTTTTTAATATGACAGCACAAAAAAAGCTCGGCATTTAAACTCGTCTCTTTTCATTTTTTCATGTTTCTGTTTTGAATGTCAAGTTCTGCTTCCAAAAAATATGATTTACTTCATAATTAAAGACTCATTAAAAAAAACAAAAAAAACAAAAAAAATCACATCACATACTTTAAAAAAAAAACAGAAACAAAACTGGTCCAACAAAGTGAAGTCATTTTAATTGGATTTTGAATATTTGTGGTGATGAGTGTGTGTCCTGACTGTGTTCCAGATCTTCTCTCCTGGTCCTGGTTCTTCAGAGTTCTCCCGGTTCTTCAGAGTTCTCCCGGTTCTTCAGAGTTTCTCCCAGTTCTCTCAGAGTTCTCCCGGTTCTTCAGAGTTCTCCCGGTTCTTCAGAGTTTCTCCCGGTTCTTCAGAGTTCTCCCGGTTCTTCAGAGGTTCTTCAGAGTTCTCCCGGTTCCTCCCGGTTCTTCAGAGTTCTCCCGGTTTTCCTCAGAGTTCTCCCGGTTCTTCAGAGTTCTCCCGGTTCTTCAGAGTTCTCCCGGTTCTTCAGAGTTCTCCCGGTTCTTCAGAGTTCTCCCGGTTCTTCAGAGTTCTCCCGGTTCTTCAGAGTTCTCCCGGTTCTTCAGAGTTCTCCCGGTTCTTCAGAGTTCTCCCGGTTCTTCAGAGTTCTCCCGGTTCTTCAGAGTTCTCCCGGTTCCTCCTGGTTCTTCAGAGAGACATGTTTGTGATCGTGGTGTTTCTCCTCACGGTGCAACAGGTCCTGTCCTCCTGTGTGCAGGTACGTCTGTCCACTCCTCCTCCTCTCCTCTTCCTCCTCCTCCTTTCTTCTTCCTCCTTCTTCTCTCTTCCTCCTCTCCTCTTCCTCCTTTCTTCTTCCTCCTTCTTCTCTCTTCCTCCTCTCCTCTTCCTCATCTCTTCTTCCTCCTCCTCTCTCTTCTTCCTCCTCCTCTCTTCTTCTCTTCTCCTCTCTCTTCCTCCTTCTCTTCTTCTCCTCCTCTCCTCCTCCTTCTCCTCTCTTCTCCTCCTCCTCTCTCTTCCTTCCTCCTCTCTTCTTCTCCTCTTCTTCTCTCTTCCTCCTCTCCTCTTCCTCCTCCTCCTTTCTTCTTCCTCCTTCTTCTCTCTTCCTCCTCTCCTCTTCCTCATCTCTCTTCCTCCTCCTCTCTTCTTCCTCCTCTCTTCTTCCTCCTCCTCTCTTCTTCCTCCTTCTCCTCTCTTCTTCCTCCTCTCTTCTTCCTCCTTCTCCTCTCTTCCTCCTCCTCCTCTCTTCTTCCTCCTCCTCTCTTCTTCTTCCTTCTTCTCTCTTCCTCCTCTTTCTCCTCCTCCTCTTCTTCCTCCTCTTCTCTCTTCCTCCTCTCTCTTGCTCATCTCTTCTTCCTCCTTCTTCTCTCTTCCTCCTCCTCTCTTCTTCCTCCTCCTCTCTTCTTCCTCCTCCTCTCCTCTTCCTCCTTCTTCTCTCTTCCTCCTCTCCTCTTGCTCATCTCTTCTTCCTCCTTCTCCTCTCCTCCTCCTCCTCTCTTCTTCCTCCTCCTCTCTTCTTCCTCCTTCTTCTCTCTTCCTCCTCCTCTCTTCTTCCTCCTCCTCTCTTCTTCCTCCTTCTCCTCTCTTCTTCCTCCTCTCTTCTTCCTCCTCCTCTCTTCTTCCTCCTTCTCTCTCTTCTTCCTCCTCCTCTCTTCTTCCTCCTTCTCCTCTCTTCCTCCTTCTCCTCTCTTCTTCTCCTCTCTTTCTTCCTCCTCTCTTCTTCCTCCTCCTCTCTTCTTCCTCCTTCTTCTCTCTTCCTCCTCCCTCTCTTCTTCCTCCTCCTCTCCTCTTCCTCCTTCTCCTCTCTTCCTCCTCTCTTCTTCCTCCTCCTCTCCTCTTCCTCCTTCTCCTCTCTTCCTCCTCTCCTCTTCCTCCTTCTCCTCTCTTCCTCCTCTCTTCCTCTGTTCTTCCTCCTCTCCTCCTCCTTCTATCCCTCTTCTTCCCTTTCTGTTCCTCCTCCTCCACTATCCCTCCTCCACCATTTCTTCTCCTCGTCTATTTCTATTCCTCCTTCTCCTCCATTTCTATTCCTTCTCCTCTTTCTAATCCCCCTCCTCTATTCCTCCTCCTCCTGTTTCTATTCCTCTTCCTCCTCCTGTTTCTATTCCTCTTTCTCCTCTTCTACTTCTATTCCTCCTCTCCCTCTTTCTGTTCCTCCTCTTCTATTACTATTCCTCCTCCTGTTTTCATTCCTCCTCCTCTTTACTCCTTCTTCTTCTCCCACGCCTCTGTTTCTACTCCTTCTACTTCTGTTCCTCCTCCTTTATTTCTGTTCCTTCTCTATGTTTAATCTACGACGGAGTAAAAGGGTCAGATAAAAAAAACAAACAACAACAACAACAACATGCTGACGCAACGAGAATAAAGTCGTAACATTTTGATATTAAAGTCGTAATTTTAGGAGAATAAAGTCGTAATAAAATCAAAGTCAAAGTGAAAAATGCAGCAGAAGAAAAACCTTGTTTTTCAATATAAAACTAAAAATAAGAAAACGAACAACAATTTTCTTCATTATTTGCACCTCCGAACTGAACCAGGACTAAACCAGGACTAAACCAAGACTGAACCAGGACTGAACCAGGACTGAACCAGGACTAAAGCGTTTTCAGTTCTTGTCTGATCCCGGTCTCAGTCTTGGTCCCTGACTCAGTCCTTGTCTGAGTTCTGGTCTCAGTCCCGGTCTGGTCTCGGACCTGGTTTAGTCCTGGTTCAGTCCTTGTTCAGTCGAATGAACAAATGATACACGGATTTTTCTCCTTTACAAAATGCTCCAAATTCTCCATTCTCCACTCGTTCAGACTTTAGCCGATTTTCTCCTAATATTATGACTTTATTTTGACTACGACTTTATTCTCATAAAATTACGACTTTATTCTCATAATATTACGACTTTAATGTCAAAATGTTACGACTTTATTCTCGTAGCGCCAGCATGTTGTTGTTTTTTTTGATCTGACCCTTATTCTCCGTCGTACTATTCCTCTTCTATTCCTTTTCCTCCTCCTTCCTTCCTCCTTCTCTCCTTGTACTAATACTTTTTTTAGTACTCAGAGTATCAGTATCAGATCAGTTTTGTAAAGTTCTGAAGGACACAGGAGTAAATAAAGATCTGCTCTTTTCCTCAGAGAAACTTTGAGTCTTTACGAGTCCAAATGGAGCAGATCTTCATCCAGGTTCTTCTGTTTTTTGTATTTTTTTCCTGGGTCAGAACAGAGCAGGTGTTTGTGAGACGTTTCATTCAGTCGTAATAAAAAAGCGTGAAGCGTCTGAGTGTCCTGGAAGCTCTGTTTAAATAAAATGTATTCTTATTCTTCTTATTATTATATTTTTTTGAACTTTTATTGCCACAAATCAATTCGCATCAACAGTGTCCTGAGACCGAGTCTTCACACAATTTATATATTCACCTTTTTTTTTGCTTTTTTTACCCCTATAGAAGAAGAAAAGAGAAAAAAACCTGAAAAAAAATAAATAAAATAAGGCATGTTTGGGCATACGTGTCTTATTTGGAAAAGTCAATAATCGGGCTCTGTTTCTTTTCAAAAGTCGGCACCTTGAGCCGTTAACAGTTCCATTGTATAAACTTGTCTGATTTTTTTATTTCCACTGATCAACGGTCGGTGTTTCAGGTTTCAGCCGGTAGATCGTGATCATTTTCCTTGCAGTCGTCAGAAGAAGACGCAGCAGAAAACACTGATCACGACAGAGACCAACAGGGAATAAATCAAGTGTTAAGTTTATCTAAACATTGTAAAACAAGAAGAAAGACAAGAGATTAATTCAGTTTTACTCATGAGGAGAACGGGCAGAGAGTGGGCATCAAAACCAACAGTCTCCACACGTTCTGATGACTCAAGGCCGTTCTCCTCTTTTTATTTCATTAGGAGGCCCTAGTTACAGAATGATAATTCTCAAGGGGAAGGGGAAACAGCAAAGACATAATAAGAAACTGATGCAGCTAAGCATAGTACAAACACATAAAACATGATTAACAATCAGGAGGTGCCTTAGGTCAGACACCATCATAACTCTTCATGTGTGACAGTGGGAGTTGGCTTCATGTGAGGAATCATCTGGAGGTTCACTAGAGCGACAGGACACTGCACACAGTTGTCAAACACACAGAGGTTATTCAACAAGTGACAAGTGATTGGTACATTATAAATCAAAGAATTGTAGTACATAAATGGTTCACTCATAGGCCTAGAATATCACACAAGTATTTAGCAAATATGGGATAATAAAATTATTCTGACATCAAGCAAAAATATGAGTTCGTTTTGTAGCTTATTCTTATTTTTATGAACAGTTTGAGGACATAAAAAAGCTCCGGTCTGAGTCTGACTTGTGTAAATATTGAGCCAAGGCTGAAGTTTATAATCCTCGTTTATTTATGTTTCCATGTCTCTCGTTCTCGTGGCGGACGCTGCTGCCGCCGCCGCCGCCGTCGCTGTTGCCGTGGTGACGTCACACAGGGTAAGTCTCCTTTTCAAAACTCTGATCCAGAATCAACACGGAACAAAAACAGAACAAAACAGAACCTCAGGACTCCAGGATCTCGGGGCTTTAAGTGTTTGTACGGTTCTTATGAGATCATCTGAGCGTTTAACCCGAGGACGGCTCCCGCACACAAACGCACAACGACACAAAAACGACGGCGGTTCAGGACGGAAGAAGCAGCTTGGATGAGCTACGAAACGTATTCGACCCAATAAACTTTTGTCCAGTCGACTGAATTTCTCCTTTGCCATAAAAGAATCATTCAAAACTCCGAAACTAAAGCAGCACAAACGATTGACACATAGTCTACGTTCAGTCTGCACCTGAAGTGACTCAAATCTGATTTTTTGTCTCTATGTTCCTGTATCTGATCTTTTAATGTCAGTCTGAACCACACAGATCTGATGTTTTCAAATGTGACCCAGGACACTTGGATCTGTGCTCCTGAAACTGATCCATATCTGATCTTTAACATGTGACTTCAGTGTGAACAGTCAAAGGTCACATTCATCCACCTACACGTCATCAACAAGACACAAACGTCACTATTCTGCACTGAAGTAGGAGAAAATTCTTCATGAACTCTGTGTGACTGAAGTGAAGCACATCTCCACTCACCACAAAACACCACCACCAAAAACCTCGTCCTTCTCAATCTTCTCCTCCTTATCCCTCTCAGACTCAAATTAAAATTTTAGTAACAGGAAAAAATCTGATATTTGGGGGAAATGATCATATGGAGTAGAAATATACAATCCTGACTTTTTTTTGAGACCTTCACATGTCAGTGTGTCTGGGATGTTGCAGATTTGCAGCATTGGTCTGGTTTGGTAAATTAACACTGAAGACTGAAAATGATATGAAAACTAACTTTATGTGTAAACCACTTTTCATAACAATGAAAACATAAAGCTCAGTGTAACAGCTTCACAGCAGCAGAACAACAACACTTTTTCGTGTGGTTCTCCAAGAAACTATTTTTATCCTTTTGTAAACAACAAAAGTACTTTGCACTTCTGGCAGGTCGTTTGTGTGTAACAACATGCACAGTTTGCATCGTCCACGTTTATCAGCATGGACGGGAAAAAAGGCTCCTGAGTAAAAAAAGCTCATAAAATATGGAGTAAGTAGGTAATTGGCATTTAGCTGTTGCAAATCTGCAACGTCTGCCTGGAGAGGGTTAAAACAAGTCAGTTGTTCATGTTGTGGCTCCGGTACGAGAGGAACTTTAAAATCTCCAGGTGCTCGATGCTGCGTCCATGTTTGGACAACTTGTGTAAACACAGAGACGCTCGCTGCGGTTGACGTCGTCGTGTCTCCAGTGTCACATGTGGGACACTTTTGGACCGTTTAATGTTCACACTGGAGTCACATACAAGTCACATTTAACTGGAAATGTGAACGACCTCGAAAAAACATCGGATTTCACAAAAAAATCGGAATTGAGCGTTAAAGCCCTGCAGTCTGAACGTAGACTTAGAGTTTTTGTGTAGATTTGAGTTTGATGTGGGTGAACTTTATGAAGACCTCGTAATACATCCTTGCTCTCACGTGCGCGCTCCCTCACGTGCACACTTTTAGCTCCCTCACGTGCGCGCTCCCTCACGTGCGCGCTCCCTCACGTGCGCGCGTGCGCGCTCCCTCACGTGCGCGCTCTCGTCTCCAGGTCAGTGCACGAACTCCACGTCGGTGCAGAACGAGATCGTCGACCTTCACAACGAGCTGAGGAGGAACGTGGATCCGCCGGCTCAGGACATGCTGCAGATGGTGAGTCCAACATGACGCAAAACTACAGTACCCACAATGCACCTGCACACTCCCACTCCCACTGTGTTATTATTATACTGTTACGTCATCATCATCTCAGTGTCTCAGGTCTAAAAACATGAAAACAGAATTATTGGGTGGAAAACCACAGCCAATCAGAACAAACTGCATTTACTGAAGGTTTGACAAGAAATAAAAGTACTTCTTATTTGTTAGACGCTTTTCTACAGACGTCATGCAGTGGTTTTGTCATGAAGCGACTTTGGGGGAAGAATTAAAACCAAAACTGCAAAAGCTAAAGCCTTGATGAGCTCTTATCTTAGCCCATTTAAGTTAAAGAGGTCTGAGGAAATTCTTATAAAAGTAACACAGACGTATTGTTTAAATAAAAAAAAAAAAAAAAAAAAAGCAATATGAGTTAGTCAGACATAGAGAACATACAAATGCACTTTTTTGATTATCAAAAATACTGAAATTTGGGGACTTGGTCAAATTTAAAATCTGCCAAATCTTATTTAAAGTGAAACTCAACCTGAAACATGTTCTGCACAAATGAACTAAAAAACAGCTTGAGGTGAAATGAATTTAAAAAAACTATTCTCTGGAACCTTCTTAAAAGCAAAAGTCTGTTACAGACGTGGAGTCTGATCATATCAAACTTGTACTAACTTGGTGCACTTCAAAAAACAAGATAAAAACCAACTCAAACTTTTCTCTTTTTTTTTTTTTCTTTAACATGACCTTTTATTGATCATAAATGATCAACTTCTGTGTCTTTCTTTGTCATTATTACTAGTTTGTACGATCATAAACTAAAATATATTTGTGCATGTATAAATATAAATATGTTCATGAATATGTGTAGATACGTGTGTGTACATATATGTATGTATATATGTACGTATGTACGTGTGAAGGTAAAACAGTTGGAGTAGAACATGATACGTTTTTTAAACTTCAGCCTCCTCCTTTTGAGCACCAGAAATGTTTAAAATATGTACATTTTATATATACACATATACATATATACATATCTCTCTATATATATATATATATATATATCTATCTATCTATCTCTATATATATATATATATATATATCTATATATATATCTATATATATAGATAGAGAGAGAGAGAGAGAGAGAGAGAGAGAGAGATAGATAGATAGATAGATAGATAGATATAGATATATATATAGATAGATAGATATCTCCATATGTTTGTAATGTACCTTGCTCAAAAAAAAAAAAAAAGTTAAAAAAGAAAAGAAGATCAATAGTCCAGTTTGAGCAGCCAAATTCCAACTTAAATGAGACTTGGTCTAATTCAAACTGTCAAACAGACACAGAAAAACACAGATGTGTTAGATCCAAATGATCCTGTGGATGAAAAGAAACTTTTTTCCTCACACAAACACGATGAATGATGATGCATGATGACTTTTTTTTTTTTTCCTTCTGTGTTTAGCCCAGATCTCCAGTTTATTTGATTGGAGTTTACTCTGTGTTTTCTCTGTGTTTGACCTGAGTTGACCTGAGTGTGTTTGGAGCAGAGCTGGAGTGACGCGGTGGCGGTCGGGATGCAGTCGTGGGTGGACGGTTGTGTCCTGGCGCACGGGAAACCCTCCACACGTTTGCTCGACGGTACGTAGGCAGAGTGGACTGAGGGAAGAGCTGCTCCAGAATCTGTGTTTTGACGTCTCTCCGCAGATCAGACTTGTAACTTCCGCAGTCATGGAAATCTTGGAAAAGTCATGGAAATTGAAAATGTCATTTTTCAGGCCTGGAAAAGTCTCTCTTTCACACAGCTCCAGTTCTGTTGAAGATTCTCATGAGTTTGTTCTGATTATTTCTGAACGTCTGCGTCTTTTATTTGCCCTAAAAGTCTGATCACTTCTACACATGCAGGTGTCATAAAGTCATGGAAAAGTTTTGAAACTTTGTGTGGGAACCTTGTAACAGTCCCTCAGCTCTATGTTCCCTGAGTCCTGGGTTTCCTCATTTTTAAGGTTTTTCTTATTTCTAAGATTTTTCTCAAAATGAAACAAATTCAAAACATTTGTATTTTTATATGACATTCAAAGGGAAGATTCAGAGTCATTTCAGCCTCGGGTCATTAGATCCATGAACATCACATCTGTGGCCTCTGCTGCTGGAGCAGACGTCAGGTGTAACTGACCACAAACTGCCAGAAACTGGGAGAAAATGTGGGAACATTTTGGGAAAAAAAAAAAAAAAAAACATTAGAAATGAGGAAACATCAAGCTGTGGGAACATAGAGCTGTGGGAACATAGAGCTGTGGGAACATAGAGCTGTGGGAACATAGAACTGTGGGAACATAGAGCTGTGGGAACATAGAGCTTAGGGAACATAGAGCTGTGGGAAATTAGAACTGTGGGAACATAGAACTGTGGGAACATAGAGCTGTGGGAACATAGAGCTGTGGGAACATAGAGCTTAGGGAACATAGAGCTGTGGGAAATTAGAACTGTGGGAACATAGAACTGTGGGAACATAGAGCTGTGGGAACATAGAGCTGTGGGAACATAGAGCTTAGGGAACATAGAGCTGTGGGAAATTAGAACTGTGGGAACATAGAACTGTGGGAACATAGAGCTGTGGGAACATAGAGCTTAGGGAACATAGAGCTGTGGGAACATAGAGCTGTGGAACATAGAACTGTGGGAACAAGAACTGTGGAACATAGAGCTGTGGGAACATAGAGCTGTGGGAACATAGAGCTTAGGGAACATAGAGCTGTGGGAAATTAGAACTGTGGGAACATAGAACTGTGGGAACATAGAGCTGTGGGAACATAGAGCTTAGGGAACATAGAGCTGTGGGAACATAGAGCTGTGGGAACATAGAACTGTGGGAACATAGAACTGTGGGAACATAGAACTGTGGGAACATAGAGCTGTGGGAACATAGAGCTGTGGGAACATAGAGTTGAGGGAACAGAGCTGTGGGAACATAGAGCTAAGGGAACATACAGCTGTGAGAACATAGAGCTGAGGGAACATAGAGCCGTGAGAACATAAAGCTGTGGGAACATAGAGCTGTGAGAACATACAGCTTCAGAAACATAGAGCTGTGGGAACATAAAACTAGAGGAACATAGAACTAGAGGACCATAGAGCTGTGGGAACATAGACCTTAGGGAACATAGAGCTGTGGGAACATAGAGCTGTGGGAACATAGGGACGCTCCTGAATATCCTTCTTTAAAGTTACATTACAGATTATAATGACACGTGGCTCCTTTTTGTCTCCTCGACCCCGGATAAATCGGATAAATGGGATAAATTGCCGTTTTCGGACGCGTGACTCTCTCCTCTCTCCGTCTTCAGGCTACGAGCTCGGGGAGAATCTGTTCTACGCCTCCAGCCCGAGGAACTGGAGCGACGTCATCACAGCCTGGCACAACGAGGTCCGGAACTTCAAGTATCCCCACATGTCCACCAACGGCAGAGAGACAGGACACTACACACAGGTACACGCACACTACACACAGGTACAAACACGCACACTACACACAGGTACAAGCACACTACACACAGGTACAAACACACACTACACACAGGTACAAACACACACTACACACAGGTACACACACACTACACACAGGTACAAACACACTACACACAGGTACAAAACACACACTACACACAGGTACAAGCACACTACACACAGGTACAAACACACTACACACAGGTACAAACACACACTACACACAGGTACAACACACACACACTACACACACAGGTACACAGCACACTACACACAGGTACAAACACACACACTACACACAGGTACACAGCACACTACACACAGGTACAAACACACACTACACACAGGTACAAGCACACTACACACAGGTACACAACACACACTACACACAGGTACACACACACACAACACTACACACAGGTACACTACACACAGGTACACACGCACACTACACACAGGTACAAACACACTACACACAGGTACAAACACACTACACACAGGTACAAACACACTACACACAGGTACAAACACACACTACACACAGGTACAAACACACACACCACACAGGTACACACACTACACCACAGGTACAACACACTACACACAGGTACAACACACTACACACAGGTACAACACACACTACACACAGGTACACACACAACACACACTACACACAGGTACAACACACACTACACACAGGTACAAACACACACTACACACAGGTACAAACACACTACACACAGGTACAAACACACACTACACACAGGTACAAACACACACTACACACAGGTACAAGCACACACTACACACAGGTACAAACACACACTACACACAGGTACAAGCACACTACACACAGGTACAAACACACACTACACACAGGTACACACACACACTACACACAGGTACACACACACTACACACAGGTACAAACACACTACACACAGGTACAACACACTACACACAGGTACAAACACACACTACACACAGGTACAAAACACACTACACACAGTACAAAAACACACACTACACACAGGTACAAACACACTACACACAGGTACAACACACACTACAACACACACACAGGTACACAGGTACAAACACACACTACACACAGGTACAAACACACACTACACACAGGTACAAACACACACTACACACAGGTACATGCACACTACACACAGGTACAAACACACACTACACACAGGTACAAACACACTACACACAGGTACAACACACACTACACACAGGTACAACACACACACAGGTACACACAGTACACACACACACACACACAGGTACACACACTACACACAGGTACACAACACACACTACACACAGGTACAACACACACTACACACAGGTACAAACACACTACACACAGGTACAAACACACACACACACACACACTACACACACTACACACAGGTACAAACACACACTACACACAGGTACAAACACACACTACACACAGGTACAAACACACTACACACAGGTACAAACACACACTACACACAGGTACAAGCACACTACACACAGGTACAAACACACACTACACACAGGTACAAACACACTACACACAGGTACACACTACACACAGGTACACAACAGGTACAAACACACACTACACACAGGTACACGAACACACACTACACACAGGTACAACACACACTACACACAGGTACACGCACACTACACACAGGTACAAACACACTACACACAGGTACAAGCACACACTACACACAGGTACAAACACACACTACACACAGGTACAAACACACACTACACACAGGTACAAACACACACTACACACAACACACACTACACACAGGTACAAACACACTACACACAGGTACACGCACACTACACACAGGTACAAACACACTACACACAGGTACAAACACACACTACACACACAGGTACACACACTACACACAGGTACAAAACACACTACACACAGGTACAAACACACACTACACACAGGTACAAACACACACTACACACAGGTACAACACACACTACACACAGGTACAAACACACACTACACACAGGTACAAGCACACTACACACAGGTACAAACACACACTACACACAGGTACACGCACACTACACACAGGTACACAACACACACTACACACAGGTACAAACACACTACACACAGGTACAAACACACACTACACACAGGTACAAACACACACTACACACAGGTACAAACACACTACACACAGGTACAAACACACACTACACACAGGTACAAACACACACTACACACAGGTACACACAACACACACTACACACAGGTACACAAACACACACTACACACAGGTACAACACACACTACACACAGGTACAAACACACACTACACACAGGTACAAACACACACTACACACAGGTACACACACTACACACAGGTACAAACACACACTACACACAGGTACAAACACACTACACACAGGTACACACACTACACACAGGTACAAACACACACTACACACAGGTACAAACACACTACACACAGGTACAAACACACTACACACAGGTACAAACACACTACACACAGGTACAAGCACACTACACACAGGTACACACTACACACAGGTACAAACACACTACACACAGGTACAAACACACACTACACACAGGTACAACACACACTACACACAGGTACAAACACACTACACACAGTACACAAACACACTACACACAGGTACAAAACACACACACTACACACAGGTACAAACACACTACACACAGGTACAAGCACACACTACACACAGGTACAAGCACACACTACACACAGGTACACGCACACTACACACAGGTACAAGCACACTACACACAGGTACAAGCACACTACACACAGGTACAAACACACTACACACAGGTACAAACACACACTACACACAGGTACAAACACACTACACACAGGTACAAACACACACTACACACAGGTACAACACACACACTACACACACAGGTACAAACACACACTACACACAGGTACAAACACACACTACACACAGGTACAAACACACACTACACACAGGTACAAACACACACTACACACAGGTACAAACACACTACACACAGGTACAAACACACACTACACACAGGTACAAACACACACTACACACAGGTACAAGCACACTACACACAGGTACAAGCACACTACACACAGGTACAACACACACTACACACAGGTACAACACACACTACACACAGGTACAACACACACTACACACAGGTACAAACACACACACTACACACAGGTACACAGGTACACACACTACACACAGGTACAAACACACACTACACACAGGTACAAACACACACTACACACAGGTACAAACACACACTACACACAGGTACAAACACACACTACACACAGGTACAAACACACTACACACAGGTACAAACACACACTACACACAGGTACAAACACACTACACACAGGTACAAACACACTACACACAGGTACAACACACACACACACAGGTACAAACACACACACTACACACAGGTACAAAACACACTACACACAGGTACAAACACACACTACACACAGGTACAAAAACCACACTACACACAGGTACAAACACACTACACACAGGTACAAGCACACTACACACAGGTACAAGCACACTACACACAGGTACAAACACACACTACACACAGGTACACGCACACTACACACAGGTACAAACACACACTACACACAGGTACAAACACACTACACACAGGTACACGCACACTACACACAGGTACAAACACACTACACACAGGTACAACACACACTACACACAGGTACAAACACACAGGTACAAACACACACTACACACAGGTACAAACACACAGGTACAAACACACTACACACAGGATCTGGGTTAAAACAGTCAAACTTAACTCTTTTCCCCCTCAGACGCCGACAAGGAACAACCCAGACATGTATTTCTAGGGCTAAACATAGAGCATAACTGAACCCAGTCAAACAGAAGTAAACAACAAGGTCAAAAATTCAAGTTAATTCATCTGATATAAAAATGTATTGAACAGATACATATGTACTCTAGTTTATCAAACTGTTGACCTTTTTTCTGTATCATTTTTGGTTCTAAAGTTCCATACATTTTAAACAGACCATGAATGAAACATGGAACAAAAATTATTTCTCAAATTTCAAAGACCTGAAAATCATGTAAATAAATGTTTGTATTTCATCATATCTTGTGTTATTCCATCTTTGAACTGTTGATGAAGGGACAGGATAAAAAAAAAAGTATTTAAAATGATAAAAATGTTCTTGGAAGGACTGACATATTTTATAGAAATAGTTTCTTTCATTTTGAAGTAATATTAAAAATTTCAGAAGAAAAAAGCGCGACAAATGATGTAAAATCCTGCACCTTCTACTTGTTTGTACAATTTTCCCTCCGTTACCATGAACTTTCTTAATAAAAAATCTCATGAGTCAAAAAGTCAGAGGTTTTTCAACCTAATCTTGTACCATATGGTAGAAAACTATATGAAGCAAATATTCAAACCAGTTTGTTAAGGATATGGAAGTGAGAACCAAGAGTTATCACTGTTTGGATTTATTGACCAAAAAGTGCTGCATATTTCATTCCCTCTGTTACCGACATGAGTTTTTAAATTTTTTGTCTTGAACTTGAAAGAATCTCACAGGTTTAACTTGACCCTGTTGGAGTGTAACTCTTTCCTACATTCTGATACTTTACTTATTTCAATAGTTCCTCTAGTTTCTGAATAAGAGACATTTGAATGTCAAAAATCTGCCCTGTTTCCCTCCGTTACCACTTGACCAGACCCTTATTTCTATTCTATGATTTAGTTTTTATTTTATTTTACTGGTTTTATTATGACTTTAGTCATTTATTTTATCATCTTATTATTGTTGTTATTATTATGTATTTGTGCAGCACTTTGGAAACTGTTTGTGAAATGTCCGACAGAAATAAAGTGGATTA